GTGTGAAGAGGACTCTCCATTTACATGAAAAGCAGGATATTATCGAGTTAACCAGGTTAACCAGCAGTTTTCCTTCAGAATGCTAATGTTTATCTCTATAAAGTTGTCTTTAAAGCTACGCGAGCAGCAGTAACAGCGACGTACCTGATGGTAACAATCTGGCCTACATCCAGAGCATAATCATTCAGCTGGGCGATGAAGATAGCAGCCACTGCCTCGTACAGCGCCGTGCCGTCCATGTTAATGGTGGCGCCGACTGGGAGCACAAAGCGGGTGATCCTCTTGTCGATGCAGTTGTTCTCCTCAGCACATCGAAAGGTGACAGGCAGGGTTGCCGAGCTGGGAGACACAAGCAGAGGCAGAAAGTATCTTGTAGTCAGACATTACAGAGCTTTAGATTCATTAAAATAAAAAACGTTTGGGGAGCTGTTTAGTCTAATTACAGAGATATGAAAAATTAGACTCTGACCTGGAGGAGATCATAAGTGCTGTCACCAGGGCCTGAGCCATTCCTAGAGTGAACGTATACGGATTCTTCCTCACAATGACGAAGAAGATGAGGGGCAGACAGACGGTGGCGTGGATAGCTAGACTGAGGGACAAAACATACAGCGTTATCAAACCGTAAAGGGATTACACAAATATTAGAAGAAGAAATGTGAAGAAGACACACGACTCTGTCGGACTCAGAGTTGTTTAGTTTCACCTGTGTTTAATTATTGACACTTTTCTAAGGGAGCTCTTTCTATCATTTGTACATTTTAACATGGTAGCTTATTTTAAATATTTTAATATCCATGAGCTTTTGCCGCTGGGAAGAAATACGCTTCAGTCAATCTTTTTGTGAATTCAAAATGCTTCAGTGGCCTGAATGATGAGGGAAATAGCTGCAGGTGGCTCTTTGAAGTCTCCACAGTCATAATTCAATTTAATTCAACTTTGTCATCTTGTCATTTCAAGACACTTTCTAATATCTAATAATGTAGAGAGAGAGCCCCGGTGAGTAGGTTGGATGTCTCAAGGCCACTTCCTATTTCCTTTGGCTGCTCCGCTCTCTCACAGTGGCTCAGCTATGCTCCAATCACATGCGAGGATATAGGATAATATCATTGTGTGAAAAACAGAGAGGGTGATGGACGCGACAGTCAAGTGGAGAGTGCGTCTGTCCTCTCAGTGAGTGAGACAGTGGACAGCGGTGAGGACGGCTGTGCGAGTGCAAAAACACATAAATATGCCCGAGACCTGTAAACGAAGCAGCGTCTGGCTGCAGTTTAAAGACTCTTTTGTCTCGGTCTCGATACCCTCTGGTCTTGGTGTTGTCTCGGTCTTAGTTTAGGCCAAAGGTGTCGAACTCCAGGCCTCGAGGCCGGTGTCCCTGCAGGTTTTAGACGTGTCCTTGATCCATCACAGCTGATTCAAATGGATAAATGACCTCCTCGTGATGTCTTGAAGTTCTCCAGAGGCCTGGTGATGAACTAATCATTTGATTCAGGTGTGTTGACCCAGGGTGAGATCTAAAACCTGCAGGACACCGGCCCTCGAGGCCTGGAGTTTGACACCCCTGGTTTAGGCGGTCTTGACTACAAGTCTACAGATGAGCCAATGAGCATACAGGAGAGCTGAACTGAATATGAGCATGAAGCAGACGTAAAGCTACGACGATTTGTCTTTGACCAGGATGTGTCCGTTCTCCCAGAGTCTCCCAACATCACATCTTTGAGATCTTATCTTGTTATCCCAGAGCCCGCTACACTCCGGGACTCGGGCTGACCTGTGGTTCCTAGAATTCCTGAATGGGAGCCGGAGCGTTGAACTGTGGGAACCAGCTGCTCGTCTGACTTCTGGAGACAGACGCTCGCTCTGCTGTCATGATTTTTGCTCAAAGAGCCGAGGTTCTGTCTTTAGTATCACATG